ATAGGTAATCCCTTAGGTCTTCCTTGGTCCGACCAGGAGCTCGGCTATCTCCTGACTTTAGCCTTTTAGGTGCACTGCTCTCATCTTCATTGCGAGCCCTCTTCGACCTTTCTCTATTAGTTGCGTCGAAGCACAACTCCTGCCTTTGAACATGCCAATGTTCTTTGGGGACTGCTTCCTTGGTGTGATGTGTCCTTCGAGATTCCTCCCATCTCAACTCTCTTCGCCGACCTCCCTTGAAGGCCGGTGAGAGTGTTTTTCGCTCCTAGTGTGCTGGGGGACTGTAGGGACTGTTTTCTGCCCATCTTGTCGGGCATCTTTCTTGGCCGCTGGAATCAGTGTATCTTGTAACGGGAACAATGGCTGCATGACGTTGTTCTACATCATGAAATTGACGACCGTTTGCAGGTCCGTCAATTTGTTCGCCATTCCCTTTACCTCATCGTCTCTTTGTAGGCATCTATCCATCCATACCTGAAGGTCGTCCTCGTTGTAATACCCACTTTGGTCCATTTTCTTTGGTACGTCGCCTTCCTGGCCGACGTCCTTTCCTTCGTGATTCTGATCACGAGTCTCTTCATTGCAGTTGTCTCCTTCAATGTCAAGGTTTACAGGTTTCCCACTCCTAGTAAGGGTGTCATCCCCAACCTTCTCTTGCTGTCCGTTGTTGGCCATCTATTCTTCTTTCTTTCCCACAGATGGCGCCAAATTGTGTGTGTCAATTTCCGACCACACCGCCAAATTAGTACTTAGTTGGAGAGCATTGGCAGAATAGATTAGTCCCGAACGACCTGAAACAGAAAGAAGAGATTTCGGCAGTGGTTTGTCCACCCGGGGGCACTCCGATGATCAAGTCAGTTATCTCTCGAAGATAGCAAAAGTGCTTAATATACTATTTAGAATATAAATTGCGTACCTTAGACCCATGATGGTGCCTTTCTTTTATAGCCAACACAATCCTAGTCCCAATAGAAGCCTAGCTCTAATGGACTTAGGATTACTGCTAATCTTGGACTCCCAGTAGGATTAAGATAAACTCTCTAAGAGTTTTATCTTTACCCAAACTGAAGTCTCCTCTCATTCTAGGACTCTTGTCCCTTATCTGCTTATCCCGGATTCCGGTATTCTCACATATAACCTCGGCTTAGCCGAGATCATCTTGGCACCTTGGCTGACACTTAGGCGTCGCCTTGGCCACGTGTTGGCACTCAGAAAATATGTCCCCACAGTAATCATTATTAGATCACCTGTTAAAGAGATAAGTGAATTTTCAATTACTGTAGGGTTACATGAATGATTAACCTTAAATCTTTATCTTTTTGTTTTAGTTATGGATGAGTTAACAGGAAATATCCAAGATGATGTGTCATGATGTGTGTTTTTTGCATATGATATCGGGTTAGCGGATGAGACTAGATGATGAATTAACACTAAGTTGAAGACATGGATAGAAGTACTTGAATATGAAGAATTTATGGTAAGCAGAACTAACACAGAATATATGGAGTGTAATTTTAGTAACAGTAATAATGGATGCAGAGGAGAAATGAAAATTGAGAGTCAAAAACTACCTAAGAGTGAACATTTTCGTTATTTAGGATCGATTATTATAACGGCTGAGGAGATTGAAACAGATGTGATCCATAGAATTAAGGTGAGGTGGCTTAAGTGACGGAGTACGTTTAGGGTACTGTGCGATAAACGAGTACTCACTAGACTAAAATGGAAGTTCTATAGAATGGTTATTAGACCAGCGATGTTGTATCGGTCAAAATGTTGGACAACTAAGAAATAACATATAGATAAGATAAATATTGCTGAGATAAGGATGCTAAGGTGGGTGTGTGGCAAAACTAGAAAATATAGAATTAAGAATGAGTATATTCGAAAATGAGTAAGAGTAGTACCGATAGAAAATAAGTTGAGAACGAATAGATTGAAATGGTTAGGTCATATACAACGGAGACCAATAGAGACAGTAGCAAAGAGATGCAATACAATAACGATAGATGAAAGTGTTAGGGAAAGGGATTGACCTAGATTGACGTGGGCTAGTGTAGTAAACAGAGATATAGGCCTCCTTAATTTGACTAATGAAATAGCCTTGGATAGTGTCGAGTGGAGAAGAAAGATTCATGTGATCGATCTTATTTAATAGAATTTAACAACTTACTTTGGTTTGGTTATTTATCTCTTGTGTTAATAATAATAAAATTTTAAGATTTTTTATACGTAAGAATTGTGTAATGATGATTTGATACTACTAATCATAGTGAGAAACTTCTCAAACTGAATAAATGATTGGGACATTTTGATTTTTATTTATAAAATTTGATTTATTTTTAGTTTATTTATATTAATTAGTTTGTATTAAAATATGGGGAAAATTGGTCTAAGGTCCTTCTCTCATTTTTAGTAATGGAAGAGACCCACAATATTATTTTGTGATGTGTAAAGTCCCTCAACCCCACACCTTTATATCACAGAGAAATTTGACTCTCACAACCATGGCACTCAATCTCCGACAAAGATAGATTGGTATTTCTCTCAACAAGAACAATACAGGGAGGGAGCCATAAAAGGTGGAGATTGGTAATCCATGGTGAGCGTGGGCATCATCCTCTGCAACTAGCTAGCAACCACTACTCACACTCTCCATTTTCGAACCCCCAAATTAACATCAACCGCACTCCAACATCATGTACTCAACTCTTTTTTCATACCCATATCGCTTCGAAAGACGACCGGAGGCTTGTCTATAGTGACCGGAGTAGGTCCAGGCATTGGAACCTACATTTTTGCATTCGTCCTCCCTCTGTCTCTCTCCTTGTCGTCACTGTCTTCACTACCTCTCGAATCGCCGATAAGCACGACCGCGATTTCCTACAGGAGGTTTTTTATTCTTTTTCTTCTTCTTCCTCCTACCCATTTCATATCCTTTTTTTGTGTGTGTTTGTTTCAATAATTAGAATGTTCTACTTGGTTTTTTTGTTAACTGGTTCAAATAAATTTTGAATACGTTGGTTGATTTAATGGTCAATTGACGAGTGTTGCTATGCTGTTGATTTAATGGTCATCAGTTTGTGCCCTTTGCAGAACAGAGGATGAATCTTTAAATCACATAATGTTACATTGCTCATTCGTTTGGAAACTCTAGTCTAGCATCATTAAATGGTGGGGAGTGCAATGGGCTATACTAGGTACAGTGGAAAGGTTGCTTCATTGGTGGAGTGGATGGAAGTTTAAAAAAGGGGAACTGGAAAATGGAAGGCTATACCAGCAGCAACTTTTTGGTCTGTGTGGAAATACAAAAATGAAGTTATTTTCAATGAGGTCCAGCCCAATCTTGAAGAACTTTACGACCTTATCAAGGTAAGAGTGGCCATGTGGATAAAGTCAAATTTGGTGGGAAGAGATTATTTAATTAACTAGTTTGTATCAAATTTGGAGAGTGGAAAGTCTAGAGAAATTTGGAGAGAATTTCTCTGGAGAATGGGATGTCCAGAGAAATTTGGAGAGAATTTCTCTGGAGAGTGGGATGTCTAGAGAAATTTCTAGAGAATTTCTCTGGGCCACTATAATGGTGAATTTCTTTGGTTTGAACCAGAATATCTAGCATTGTATACACCTTAGAACCATACAAAGCCTACAAACATAATGACTCTTGTACTTAGCTTATAGAAATCATATATTGTAATAAGCAGGGCACATTTGGCTGCTATAGATTCTTCTTACCAAAACATGTATGGGAACTCACTGAAAAAGGTAATTTGTTCTTAATGTCGTCACCGTCTATTTTTATTGTAAATTCTTGTTATGATTTTTAACAAATTGAGATAATTATAGGCTACAACGAATGAAACTTCAGGGGAATTTGAGCTTGCCCTTTTGACAATCGTACAATGTGCACATAATCCTACAAAATACTTTGCAAAGGTATTCATCCAATCATAACTTTTTCTTTTCTTATTAATGTAATTAGGACTTCTTAGGATGCATATATATTTGGCTGTATGTAATAGTTTTAAGGACTAGACTATCATTTGTGTCCTGAACAACTGATTTTTGAGATATTGACTTGGGATTGTGACTTTCCAATTTCTTTGTTCTTCAACAATACTTCTATGCAACGCCAATAGTGGATAATGTTTTCTCAATTTCTTTGGTTTGAACAGAATTTATTTGGAACCAAAATTTTTCTGGAGAGAATTTCTCTGGTTTGGACAAAATTTCTCTAGAACCAGAATTTCTCTGGTTTGGACATAATTTCTCTAGAATCAGAATTTCTCTGATTTGAACAAAATTTCTCTAGAACAAGAATTTCTCTGGAGAAAATTTCTCTGGAACTAGATTTTCTCTGTGGAAGTCTAGAGAAATTCTCCGGATCGAATTTTTCTGGATTGATTCAAGGGACCTTAGACATTATGAAAATATTGAATATCCTTTATGCTATAAAATCTTATACTAGGGACCCTAAAAAAAATTCCCTTAAAATATGATATGGAAGTATAAATAGTTAAATTCGCATAATCATAGAAATTTTTATAAATTTACATGAATTTATATTTAACTTACATAATTTTATTATACGATTGTATACGGTACATATTGCATACCGGCTTATTTCTCCTTCTGCATATATAAGTTTGTATATTTCTCAAAAAGGTCGTTTTAGTGCACCTGTCGGAATTCGAGGGGTTAGTTTAGCAAATTAAACACCACCATAGAAAGAGAGGAAGAGCATGGTCTACACACGTTTGGTATGTTGAAGGATTGTATATTCGTAGTGTACACGCTATTAAGTTAAAAAACACAATTCTAATACAAACTAAATTTTTGTACAAAATTGTTATATAAATTAATTTCTTCTTTTATGGTCTTTTTAATATTAAATTAACATATCTATTATTATAACTCATAATTTCAAAATGTCACACTATCATATGATATATTTTCTGGAAGTAATATAGAAAGAGTATGAGAGAAACTTGTACAAATACCTGTTTCTGGTGACAAGTTTGGTGAGAAAGTCCCAAAGGCGGTGGTTCTTGCATATGAGGAGGCAAGCTGTCCTGCTGATGTGCTCATACCAGCAAGCTATGGATGCCCCGAACGCAATTAGCGGCCACACTCGCCTTGGTGCCAACTTCCTCATCAAATACTGTGTCGCTTGTTCACCCTTTGGTACTGGAAAATATGGCTGCCAATTTTTTTTAAAAATATTTTTGGTAAATTGGTTCATACATATATAAAAATGAAGGCCTTATTTGGTTTGCTTTTGAGAAACAAATTTTGAAATTTTTTTTTTTTTAAAATTTTGTTTGATTTTGTGATTTTAGAAAAAAATTTCCAAAATCACATTATCTCTTCTACATATCAATCAATTGTTTTTTCTCTCTCCTCTTTCATTCTCAATCACTTTTTCTGTCACACATATCTATTCAATTACAACAGAATATCAAATCATCCCAAACTCTCATACTCCAAAATTATTTTTAAAATATACAACAAAACAAATCAAAAATATTCTAAACTCTCTCCCCGAAATCTTTTTTAAAAATTTATCTCTCAAAATCAAACCAAACACACCCGAAATCTCTGAATATGTTAATTTAGAGAACTTACTGGTGCAAGTAGAGTTAGGGACTTGACAGAGCCGGGGTGTCTAACCGCGAGTGCAAGGGCTAGAATGCAACCTAGTGAATGTGCCACAATGTGGAACGATTTTACTTTGTAAGGCAACAGAACAGAGCGTTCGATCATCTCCAAATGCTCTCTTAGTGTATAAAGGGAGTCAGTTGGCTTCGGACTTCTTCCAAAACCAAGTAGATCGATGGCGAATAGCCGATACATTGCTTTCGCAGACTCTGAGAAATTCGGAAACAATGTCTCCGTCCAAAATGCAGAAGATGAGATGAACCCATGAATAAATATCACATCTTCTTGCATGTTATCTGACTCATCCCATCAAACCCAACTTAATCAATTAATTAAATTTCTAAACCAAAAGTAAAAATAAAAAAATAAAAAAAATAAAATAAAATAAGTGATGATGTATTATGTGAACTAATATTGAATGAAATTACCTTTGGCTCCATCAACTCGGACAAAAAGAGTTTCTTTGCAGGAAGAGGCCCAAGAAGTGCAAGTTTTGCAATCACAGTCGGACCATCTGGGATTGGGGGTGGGAATGGGAAGTGATTGGTGACCTCGTCCGATCTGTCCTTGTAGCATTTCGACAATGGTGGAGCTTACGGTGAATGTTGATCGGACTGTGCCTCTCTTGAATATCTTCTCCAAATTGATGCTAGATTTGGAGACATCGGAGACTAACGAAGGACGAGTGTAGAGGGTGTCAGAGATGTCTTCAAGTTCTAACTTGGTTGAAGAAGTGAGGCAAACAATCTTAGACTCGCCTTGTTCGGAGACCAAGATCTTGCCACTGCTGGTGATGCCTAAGGCTTGTTTGGTTGAAGTTGAAGAGCAGTAACAAGGCTTCCATTGGGCTTCAATCAAGAAATCAACAACTTTGTAAGCATAACACAGTAGGAAATCAACAATGTCAAAGAGAGAGAAGACAATGCAGCTCAAGACTACATTAATGGTTCTGCCAATGAAATTCAAAACTGGTCTGGTTTGGCCTATTAACACAGCCATTTCTGTGAAAACCAGCACCACCACAGCCAGCACCAGCTCACAACAGCTGTCTATTTTTAAGTTTAAATAACCTATGAGATGAGAGAATGGGAAACAGAGTGAGGTTGTGGTGGGGGGCAAGATTTACGAAGATGGCTATTTGTGGTTGTGAATAGAGAAAATCATTGGTACAACTAAAGACACATGTTAGCTTCGTCGTCTTTGTACTCTTCTCTCTGCTCTTGGTTTTTAATAGGCAAACAAAGATGCCAAACAATACAACACAACCATTACAGAATAACATGGGTCTTTCTTCAGTGCAAAATGGGTCATGGAAATAACCCAACATGCACAACCTTCGTGAACCCCCCTTGGTTGGAACAAATATTGAGAGAGAGAGAGAGAGAGAGAGAGAGTTGAAAGATGGGCATAAACATGTGCCAACAGCAGATGACACAGAAATGAATTTATTGTCACATTAAAATGGTTTGTTGGCCAAGGGAGAAAAGGTTGGTAGTAGTTGAACCTCCCCGGTGAAGAAACAATTCTCTTATTCAATCCTTAACAAGCATTCGTTTCTTCACACCTTCCTATTCAAATTATTGTTATGCATACCTCGCTCCAAGGATACCCTTCATTTTATATTAATTAAAGTATAAAAGATGGCAAATCCTCTCCAATCCAAACTGAAGTAGAGGGCATTGTTTCTGCCTGTAGGTCTCGTCACGAGTCACGAGCATGAGTACTTCAAAAAATATGCTGTATCCGTATCGGATGCTTATCGATGTATGGTATTTTGTATGTTATTTTTGTATATATATCGAGTACACGAAACACGTACCTAAATTTTTTCTTCTTATTTTTTAGTATACCCAGACGTACCTAGTATATACCTAAGCAATACCGTACATCAGTTGAAAAAATATTTTCTTTTACTACAGAGATAAAACTCATTTTACTAAAGTTCTCTTTTATTTTTAGTTTTATATTTAGCATGATTATAAAATTAAACTATGGTTTGTAATTTATTTAATATATTGACATTTAATTTTGATTTATACCTTTACTTTTGACATTAAATGTTAATTATGGGTTAGATCTTAACAAATTAAACCATTTAATTAATTTTTACATTACTCTAAATTAAAAATAAATATATTTTTACAAGCATACCAAACTGTACATGTATCCTATTTTTTTAAGTTTTTACCATATCGACGTACCCGTATTGTACTAGTACCAGTACCAGTACCAGTATTCGTACCTATAACCGTGCTTCATAGGTCACGAGCCTTATTTTGATAATCTGATATGTTTATTTTGTTGAGTATTTTGTATATTTCATTCACGTATAAAATTAGATCAGTCCGATAATTGTAAAATATTCAATTTATAAAAATTTTATTAAAAAAAATAGATAACAATTGTTTTTTTAAAAATAAACCATATAATTTTTTTGTAACAAACGCAAATTGAACAAGTTACATTTATTGAATTGACTTAATATTTTTTGTGAATGAAATACACAAAGTGACTAAAATAAACGGTTCGAATCATAAAAACGAAGTCGTGATGAGTCTCATGGACCCAAACAGCACTCTCCAGTCCAAATTTTTGACTGGAGGGGATCTATCTCCATGTATAAAAAATCTATACTCTTTATTTTACTTTATTCTTTATTTATTCCAACCCCTACATTATTTTACTTTAGTACTCTTCCAATGTAACTAGTTTGAAAATTTTTTATTAGAATAACTAGTTAGTCTATTGAAGAGAATAAAATATAATGAGATTAATTATAATAGCGAACAAGGTTGTTTAAAGGTAGTCTTAAGTTTGTTTATGAATTGACTTTTTTAATAATTTTTATTTTATTTTTATGGAAATTCGTGTATAAAAGTGAATAGAATTGAACTTTTTCTTTGTAATAATTTTTTTCTTTTTTTTTTTTTTTTTAAACTATATCTTGAGCTTTAACTTTTTAACTATGTCAACCACTTCTCAACACAACCCCTAATTAAACGTACTCTCTCCATCCCATTTTTCTTACTCGTTTGTACTTTGGATGTTCTAAAATGTTGGTCCTATTTAATATATCAAAAAATATATTTATACATATATATATATAGATATATTGAAATTTTAAAATTACTACTATATATATATATGTAAATATATTGGTCCTATTTAGTTTTCCAAAACTATCTTTCAAAAGTGACAACAAATATGTCAAAAATTGGAATAAAAAAATTTCTCAAAATAAATATTTTAAAATTTAAATTCAAATATAATAATTATATATTCTCTATAAAAATTAAAATTCCATAAAGGCACTAACAAAATAAAACAGAGTATAATTTATTATTATTACTACTACTATTTAATTTCATGAATCCGAAAATAATGAGCTCTGATATCATTTAAAAACTCTAGCCCACTTCATTTCTACCCCTCTTGATTTACATTGCTGCCCGTGTTACTCAAGGGCAGTCTGACTAATTAATGTGTGAACAATTTTTCAAAGTGAACAGGTCTTGTATTTATTGCTAGGGCACATGGCTCTGATTCCATCCCTAGGATCCACCCCTTCACCGCCTTCGTAAGAGCATCTCTAGTGTTTGCTAAACGAAAAACGTTATAGGCCTTAAATTTTTAATTAAATAAATAACTAAATATTATATATAAGTATAAAATTTATAAAATTGTAAACTTCACATGTATATGAGATATTTAATCATTTATTTATTAAAAAATTTGATGTTCGTAGCATTATCATTGTTAAAATAGCAATATTATTGTTATAATTTGATAATGAATGGTGCTATTTTATCAAAAGAAAATACATGAGACCTTCAGTGGGGGTGTTGGTCCCTTTTGATTGGTCCAAAATTTTTTTTTTTTTTTTCTTCCATTGGGCCACGTGGAGGTGGGGGTGCTGGGGGTCACCTCCACTGGGGGTCCCCAACATTATTTTTTATCAAATTATAGTAATGGTACTCCAATGGTTGCATGTTATTTTGACAAATCTCAACTAACTTTCCCTCCAAGTTTGTAGGTGTTGTTTGGATATATGTTTTTTAGTAATTTTTTTTTGTTGTTTATTTTTTATCTTTTGTAACATTTTTTCAATTGTTCGTAAAGAAAATTATATATTTACAATATATCCAACTAGACAAATATAAAAAATAATTTTCTTTTTTTTTAAATATAAGTCACACCACCAAAAAACATACCACTAAAAAAAATAAAAATTATTAACTACATTAAAAAATACATTCCCCTGTAATTATTCATTGGAAGGCAGGGGAATTTTTTTTTTTTTTTTTTTTTTTTTTTTTTTTTTTTGCAATAATTTTTTCTTTTTTCTTTTTAATTTTTTTTTTTTTTGTAGGAAAATAAAAGCACGACTCTTTTGCAGTCCAAGACATCATTCACACCGTTGATGTTTTCACAATCCAACGGCTAATTTGAGAATTCTGGAATCATTTGCTGCCTTCTCAAAACAACCCACATTTTCTCTTTCTCATCTTCATTTTCATTAAACCAGTTGGCTGAGCATCTCTCTCTCTCTCTCTCTCTATCTCTTTCCGTGTGTCACGACCCAAACCCGCATTTTTAGGTTTAATGTCATGACCGGCCAGTAACCTCTATAAACAAAATCCATGAAATATAAAGTATGGGACTTAACGGAAGTACAACATAACACGAAAATTATCCATTGAGGCATGCGTATAAGAAAATAACTCCATAATAAGATTATACAACCATTCAATATGTAAGTGCATACAATGCGAAAGTTTTTAAAACAACACTCAGCCCACAATTACCAAAAACTTTACTAGTCATACATTCACAAAAACCTCTATACCTAAAAATCAAACTAAGAGTCCATAACAAAAAAGGGGTTTAGACTTTGTTTGGCTTCACACGAGTCCAAGTTGGCTCCTTCTCGGGAGTTCCACAAAAAGCTGACCATAGGGTGACTATGAGACAACTTCTATCCCTAATGCTCAACTTGCTCACCTACACACATATATATACATAAATAGTGAGCTAATGCACAATGAGTAATAATAGAATAAAGGGGTTATATGAATGAAGTTCCAGACCATTACAAATATCAATTAGTTTAGCCATCATATCAATCCTCTACAATAACAAAACCATTGTTTGATATCATTTTCAATACAATTCCGATTTCAATACAATTCTCAATAATCCATGTTATCTCAGTAGCAATACTCACTCAATGACAATTTACGTGGTACGTCCAATAGAGTAACAATGTATTAGTAACAATGGGACCTCGAGGGTCAATCAATAGGACCACAATGGGTCAGTCAATATATCTCATCCAATGTGACCATTAAGGTCTAACAGTAGAGATCTCTGTGTTTCAATTATCTAATGGGCCACGGTATTGTTTTCCCTAGGCGAGGGCCAATGGGCCATGGTATTATATCCCCCCTATTTAGCAATGGGCCATGGTATTAATTTCCCTCAAGCATGGGCTTCACTAAAGGATGCCACGAGTTTACTTTAGGATGAGACGAGTTTGCTTTCAAAAATGAACTTCATTCATTAGTAACAAATAGTACTTCAATAAACTATTCAATCAATCATATATCGATTTTGATAATAATAACATTTGTGAAAATAAATATTACTTGAACATATCTTTATAAAGTTATTACTCATAGTGGGTTACGTTGTCACTAGGCCTCGGACGTCCACCTATACAAAACACATAACAAAAATACAATTGAAGCACTATTCGATATCCATTTCACTTAATTCAATTCTCCCCATGTGTTTCTAACTTATTCCATGTTTATATGAGTTCAATTGGTGCCTAAGAGTACTTGAAATGACTTGAGGAAGCAAGTATGTACTTAAAAGAGTTAATCAGAATTTGCTGAAAACAGGGTTCTCGCTCGAGCGCCACTTTGGTCACTCGAGCGGTCTACAAAATTGTATAAAATATTGGTTCCACGTTTTTTATGCTCGAGCGAGATTCTTGTGCTCGAGTGAGGAGCAAAGCAAAATAAGGTTTGCTCGAGCACAACTTTGGATGTCTGAGCCACCGTGCAATTCCCTACAAAACTTCTAGGAGCTCAATTTTTATGCTCAAGCGACACTTTCTTCACTTGAGCGAACATGTCGAATTCTGGGATTTCTAAAACTGTGTTTGAAGTTCAAATTTGATATTCAAAGGTCCAAAACTCGTGTTTTTAATACTCAAACATGGAGAAACATCATAAAACATGGAAACATAGTTAAATTGAAACCAATTGCTCAAGATCATGGACCCAATTCTCAAAATCAAACTTAGATCATAAAGTTGGAACCATGTATGACGTTAATCACACTCTTTTCTTCTCAAAACATAGCAAAATGACATGATATGTATAAAACCATGAAAAACCTTCAAGTTTATGCCTTCTAGACCTCATACATGTATGAAATTCAAGAAATCTCAACTCAAAAACAAAGGATCAAGCATGCATGTGCATAATTCAACTCAAATTCATCATATTCATGGTAATTC